CACAACATCACCTTCAGTTACGCTGTGTCACCAAGAGAGTAATTGTACTGGTCTTTGACTGAATCTGTTTATTCCGAATAGAGTTGCATCGTGGAAGACTTTATTGATGACAATCAAAGCACGTTTGTCGTTGGAATGATTACGAACAACCTATGTCATTCTTCAGGAGTTAAAGTGTGATTACTCGCTCAGTCACGATTACCTTCTGGCCCTCCCACTTGCACCCACCCGGCCTCTCGGTCCTCACAAGCCCTTATTATTTAACTGGCTAACGTTACTTAGTTCCAGGAAACTATGATCTGCTGGTCTAACATGAAATTTCAGATTTATAGAAATACAAAGCCTTTTGACCCCTGATTCGGGATGATCATGGCATTGTTATTGCTGGCTGTTGTCCAGCCACGAACTGGTGGCACCCGTTTTGTAAACTGTAGCTTTCTACTTGAGTCGGTCAACAAAGTATCGATTCTCGCTCGAATTTCACGGTTTTTGTTCCAGCTGGTCCCTCCGATAGACTGGTGAAAAAAAACTGCACGTTATTCGTGTGCTGACATCCAAATGTCACGATCAATCGCTAATTTTAATGACCTGTATCCAATAATCTTTGATTAATCGATTACTGTCATTGAAAGCTAAGAGTGAACAAAAAAGAAACAATTCAAGTTAGTTTAAATGATTTTGTTCAAAATTTTCTGCCATTAGGTATATGTGTATGGAAAGGGAGTGGGCACATAAGCACTACGTTAGGGGTTAGCCATCCATGCTGATTGACATCAATAATCCTCACTTAATTCGATCGCGCATTCTCCAACCGGGAAGCTGAAACAATCTTTTCGACCTTATCATATCTGAACAGTATGTGACAAACTAGTGAACTTATTCATAGTCCAAACAATAAATGTGATTTGAACACTTGGAAGGTCGTCAACTACGGTTACCAGGACGTCACCCGTTCAAATTAGTCGTTCTGATTAACCATAGACCACTGTACCCGTTCTGCTCTAAATTTTAGTGCATGCCCAAAATTTGGTAACACACGGTAACGGAGAACATCTCAGTGCGTAAAATTGATGGAAATTGATCAATGGTGTTCAATGGAATTTTGTTTAATTTCAGATTGTTTTAGCAAAATTATGATCTCAATCACTGGGTCCCCTTTATTCATTTCATCAATATAGAAAGAAGACAAATGTCACGAAATGTTAACATTTCGTTCAATCTTCTCAATCGCTGACTTAAAACAAACACCATATATACAGCACATACTGTTTTTCAATTATGGTGAATAAACGTGTACAAGTATACAAAGATCAATAAACATGAAATTAGAAGGTCAACTTCACGGTAGGTGGATTGATTGTATCAAAAACCTGTCTCACAAACTGTATATCAGTTTATCTGCAGTTGCGGTGACGCATGCATAAACAGAACAAACCGTCAACTCTCTCAATAGATGGCCCAATATATTCCAGAGTAGTTAGTCAAAACTATGACGCAACCGACCACTGATTTACAAGAAATCCAAGGTCACCTGTTGCAAAATATATCATGATAACAAGACACAGTCGACCCCAATTTGTCTTTCAAACCACTTTTACGTAATCCCTAAGCTAATGACAATGACAATTGGTGAATCACTGATTATTCGATTACATCACTCGAGTTTTGATACAATAAATCCACCTACTGTGGAGTTGACCTTCTACTTCCATTTTTATTGATCTTTGTATACTTGTGTACGTTCATTCACCATAAATGAACAACAGCATGTGCTGTATACATGGTGTTTGTTTTAAGTCAGCGATTGAGAAGATTGAACGAAATGTTAAGATTTCGTGACATTTGTTTTCTTTCTATATTGAAGAACATTATGATCGTGAAAGAAAAAACAACCAAATTAACTAGGGAAGGTTGTGCAATAGTCTGCTGTCGAGGTCTCATTGTTTTGTGGATTTGGTGTTTAAACTTATTCATTAGTTTCATATTGCATACAATTTAGACCATGGACAATGGACCATGTGGCACACAGGCTAAAACGTTACTAACGAGTTAAAAGTTTAGGGAACGAGTGGTGTTGAGATTCCACTGATCTAAGTCACCATAAATCGTGGGGAATCCGAAATATCTAAGGTTTCAACTTCGCTACCAGCACTGAAATTTGGCGGCAGGCAATTCGGCTGCAGTTCAGTTCACTGCCGCATCTATCTTGTTAGAATGCAATTTGGTTTATCTCTCAAACTCGAACTTCGCCGATTTGCATTGCGAAACAGTATTCTCAGATTCATACGAGGTTCAGACTCTCTGTTTTTCAATAAACCATAAATTAAAATACAAAATACTGTTCACTGGGGGATGTCGTTCCATACGCAACGAAACACAGTAAGATGAATAATTTTTCTTAGCATGTTATAGAAGTACCTAAGAGTTGTCCTATTTGATGCAATTACTTAACAATTGCCTATTTAGCCACATAACAAAACTGCCATGAATAGGCTTTCGTTGTCCTTCACGTTAGGTTTTTATCATGTGGCTGCAATTATCTCAATTTCACTGCTGATTCGTGTATGAACAAAGAACAATTTATTGCGTGGTATCTTCACTGATAAAAAAATGTTGCTACTTCGCCACGGATGAAACGTATGTTTCATTACTGATTATCCACTTTGATATGTATTTAATTTGTATCTGTGTGCCTTCTGCAACAATTAACCTCTTTGACTTTATATCCAAATATAGACAAAAGCTTGTCAAAACAATACAATGCAATATAAAGAGTTTGTCTCAAATTGGTTAGCTATTAGACGATCATTTAAAGCAATATAATAGTGTGATATTACTGAACGGCACGCGCTTGAACTGAAGTAAACAAACACAAGGGAAAAATACATATTCGGTCAAATGTGGTCCTCCATCACAGAAGCTAAATTTTCACTGATTCAATGGAATCGACAAATCTCAGAAAGACGTAAAAAGCAATCAGAATTTGGTTATGGGTGATCTAGATTTTATAAGCATGATATTTTACATTGGTCAATGATAGTAGGGTTCTGAAAATCCATATCCTTTCTCAAAGGTCCGAAAGGATTGATCAAATCGTCTTATTGCTCTGCGGTTATGCTAAAGGGTCTGTTTTCCTTGGTCTATTTGGTGATCTATCTATCCCAGGATGATCCGTAAACACATTGCAGCTTTAACAACAGAGGAATAAAGGGGAAGGATATTCCAAATGGTAAAACATTCTTTTATATTATTCATTTTCAAGTTTCTACATTAATGTACGATCCCAATGTAGTAACAAAACCAATGATTCATAAAATAAACCGGGTGGGAGAAGGTTGTTTGTGGTGTTCCAAACATACGTGACTGAATTCCAAGTATGACCAGGTATTGCTTAATGTCAATCAATCCAAGTTCAGGTACACCGGGCGAACATTACATCAGAGTTAGTACATGATGCGTGATGCATCTGCGCCAGCGGTTACGTGATTGAACGATGGTCCGTCAACCAATAATATGACCCATTGCTTTATATAAAACATGCTCTATTTCTGTCAATAAACGTTGGCACTCGCTGCTACCAATTCTCCGTGTATTTCATTGGTG